AAACAAACTAATCAAGTAAAAAAGAAACAAAATTTGTAACATCCTATACAACTCGCGCCACAGCGTCGCATTACAAGCCTCTCCTTCTAACAGTATGTTTAGTCTCTTTTAAATTCATTCAACCCATTCACATACTTTGTGACCTTTACAAATGAACTTTACGTTACAGTTTTATACGTAGGGGTGTTCTAAAATTCTTTGTTTTGGATAATTTAATAACTCGTTAAATATTGATGTTTAAAGAATGTAAACATTTCATACAATTTTTAAAAGTTATCCTATATATGTGTGTTCATTTATTGTCGCGATGGTAACGACACGCTGTATATTATCATTGGCTGTACGGATGGCACAAAAGTTTAGGTACCTTGTCAGCGGCAATTGTGCGTCGCTTTGTAGGTTTGACCGCGCACGGGGCAAAAGTTTCGTGTGTTCACAAATTGTTCCGAGTCTCTCCAGTGTACGTGATTATTCGTATTCTTTATACTCCCGTGACGGAGGATTTGTCTGTTTGTGTGGAAATAGTTTTGAATATATAAATGTCCATGTTGGATTCACGTAAATAAAACTATTTTGTCGGACTTATTGAGTTAATTTTTAAGCATTTTTGAACGTTGGAAAGGGTTCAAAACGTCGGTAACTTCAATTAAAATTATCGTGTAATCGCGTAAATACAAGAAATTATCATAAATTAGCGATTGTATTGAATAAATATTATTATCACTTTATTGGAGTTTTAATATCCCGTATAATGTTGATAAAACGCACTATCTCCTGTGTGAGTTATATTTGTAAAACTTTGTGTAACAGGAACAAAACTAAGTCGATTTATTTTGAGCACGTAAGGATATCTTCCGCACTGGACTACTAAGCTCTACTATTGAAGTGCTTATTTAAAACTTACAGACAAAATGAACTTGCAAAGGCGTATTATTTTTTATTTGTGTAGATAAAACTGTTGTAAGCGTTCTACGAGTACATAACATACGCGAAGCTTTGTTAACATCAACTGCCTTATATTAACTACTTTATATTATTTCTGTAGTCTGGAAAGTTAAACTCGACCGTTTTAAGGTCAAACCATCACTGGAATCGTTTGGGTTTGGCGTTTAATTGGCCGAGTACACACGATAGCCAATTAAAACTAATCTGCAGCGTTTTGATATTTAACAAAAGAGTAATTGATTTTCAATTTAAACCGCTAATAACGCGACATTAACACATATCTTACAGAGTATACTCGGGTTTTACCACGCCCGGTTTCTGACACACTGATCATGGTAGAAGCTAACTAATCAGTTGTCAAATGGCTTTTCAAATGTAATTTAAGTTGCCAAATGGATGGTTAAACTCTCTGAATTTATCAGAATGATCTTAATGATCAGAAGAAACTGGCCGTAGAAGTGTATTGTTTTGACATTCCCCGCAACCTAAGCAAAATTATTTGCTTCGCTGTTCGTAATACGGTCGACAAAGGTGTAATTTGCCCTACTGCGGTTTTAAGTTTTACTTTGTTTGAGTTAAGAGTGTATAAGATTTTATTTCACCAGAGCTCTTACCGCCCGCTATGAGCCGAGTTAACGCGCTTAAAAATAGATTTTTAAATCTCGTTTTTCAAAAGACTTCAAAATGAAGGAGGTCCCCAATTCGGTTGTTTTCTAAATGTTTTTTAACTACGTAATTTATAAAGCGATTTGGAGAATTGTTTTCTTTTGGAAAGGAGATATATTATAGGAGGATTGAGGAAGCAACTCATTGAACCTGTTCGAATCCACTGCTGAACAAATTCACATGAATCCACAGGCTGTTTAGAAACACGATCCTGAGCCACCTGCATCCATCGACTTCCCGCACATTTGCACAGGTCCTGACTCCATCAAGTGGGGGGTCGTCGTACCATGGACACTAGGCGGCATTTCACCAAACCCAAAGTTATTATTCGATGTAACAGACGATTAAGAGCTGTCATGTTGTCCGCTTCGGGAAGAAAGTACTAGAGGCTAGACCAGATCTGAGCCTGTAAGAATCTCGCTTCAACAGTACCCGATTCCACCATAATTTCATTGTAAACTTTAAACTTATACGACTTAAAATTATGTAACAACTTTAAAGTATTGTCTAAATTATATTGTCATAATATTATACTTTTTATTATGCACTATTATTATATATTGCATATTTCCGTCCATTACAAGGGGACAGACTCAACACTTGTCACGTTAAATCGTAAGAAACAGTTGGCGCATCACACATTTGTGACGAATTAAACTTTATTTCGTTTCTCTTATTAACGTTGTATGTCTTATGACAGCTCAGATCAGGTTGATAATTATTTGTGTAATCAAAAGTTTCACCGCAATTCACGTGGGTCACGTGTAAAATTAAAATCACTATTTTCCACCCTTTGAGAGTTCAAGTCTAGAGCACGCTGTATTGTATTTATTTCGCTTCTGACCCAATCAGTAATAAAATTTCTTGTCCACTTAATTACATAAAAGGGTGGCCTACTCTCGACTGCCCTTAGAATTAAACCCAATTATAATTTTTGACGTTGTTAACTGTGCTATTGCTTATGCTCGCAAACCATTGCCGTCTGTAGCGAGTCCTGGTTCAGTCAAACGCTATCAAAGGCTTCATTGAACGTAACGCGGTACGTCTATATCGCTTTACGCTTACGTTTTGTAAGTAACGGAAATCGCGTGGGCGGCCCCTGGCGAGATGTCTAATTAAGAAGCGCGGGGCGTTTGAGGAGCTGTGACGAACGTCGAGGGTCATCGTAGCCACTGGGGCATGGCTTTGTTTAGATCCGACATTCTGCTTTGTACCTAACGATGTTTATTAGATTGTTGTAAAAACTCAATCACAAACTAGGGTTATTTCTTGACGGAAAAGTAGGCAATTTTTACAGAGGTCGCTTGGTATTGATGACCATCGATGAGATTTTGTACACGTAGGTAGTCCGAGAATCTTCTCACTGTTGTGCCATGAGAATCGAAACATGGAGCTCTGATCTCAGATCCAATTTTCTATATAAAAAGTTCTATATATACATGTGTGTGATGTGTGTGGCAGTTTATTTAATACCTATATTCAAAGCACATGTGTGCGGATTTATGCATATGTATGATTATTGAAGAGATAAACAACTGTTTGCCTATCATGTTTGGGTAAATAATAATCATTGAACAATTGAACATGTTATCGTTTTCTATAAAAAGATGCTTAAAATAGACAAATTACATCAAAAAAATTTAAACACTACTTTTTTATTTTAAATTTAAAGCCTGTTTTATTTCGGGATTATAAAGTACGTCAATGCAGTCATGTTGACAATATACCCACTTTATGGCTGCTTCACCAACTTAAGTCCAGCACTGTACACTTATTACTCGATGTTAATTTTAACTACCTTCAACTAACGACAATCAATGACAGGTAGACAGACATAAGGATGTCGAGGAAAGTATGCCAGGATCGTGTAGAATGCTATACCGTAACGTCGACGGTCCACATAGATAGAAGTTACGTGACAGTTCTCTAATCGATTTAAGACAGGATAAGACAGAATCAATTTTAAGATGGACTATTTAAGTTTTGTTAATATAAGAGATTGTTATCAACTTAACTATGCCCGGTTATGTTAACTAATCAGCTGCAAAATGGCTTTTTAAAATCTTACACTCTTTGAATTGATCATTCTGACCATTAAGAAGATCATTCTGGTCAATTCGGTGAGTTTAACTATTCTTTTGGCAACTCAAATGAAATATGAAAAGCCATTTGACAACCGATTAGTTAACATCTACGATGATCAGTGTTTCAGAAACTGGGCGTAAGTGTATTACTTAAAGTCAAGCTATCTACTTCCACAATTAACACGCAAAGCGTCTTTAAAATCTTTAAGAATATTCAGAGCGCGTTTAAACAGGTGTTAACGTTATATATGTGCAGTAATTTCATTAGTCCTCGTAAAAATAATTAGGCAGTCCGACTGTCACCGGGTCTAACAGTATATGCCATTGAAATATATGAGAAACATACATACATAATATATTAATGGTGAAACAATCAGAATGGACCTACTAGAGTTCTGCGATAGGACATTAAGTGCCTACAAGCCACTTGTTGACATTGTCTCGATTTTGGAGTGTATTTTTCTTATTCAAATCGCCACGACTCATCTATGCGAATCCAAAAACGATTCAAATCACTTAAGAGCTACCTTGCTAACCGAGTAATCTACAATTTTCTGTGGCAACCTCAGTCCAGAATAGAACCGACACTATTACTGTAATTAAAAGACCTGCGCATGCTCTACCATGCAGCGCAAGCAAATGTTATGCTTATAGTACGATATAGTTTCCAGCGCGTATTACTTATTATTTGTTTTCATTGACAAGGTTCATTTGTCAATGAAAACTTCAAAAACAAGTTGTGACTTCAGATACTTCAAAAGCAGTTTAGAGAGCGCTTCTCATATTCGGGATCAGTTGAGGACCGGCCCATCATCCTATTAAGGGACTGCAGCAATTAAGCGCGGGGGAAAATCGCGTACTAAGCTCGCTTTCGACCGGCGACCGTCGTTAGAAACTCGATCGCCTTAAAGGCGGTGAAACGTCGGCCCGTGAGCGGAATGATAAACGCATATCGGCCCCTATTGTTTTAGGGCACCAACATGCCAGCGGAGCGTGGGCAGCCGCTTTTATGGACGGCGAACGCGTAAGGAATAGACATTGCGAAAGTCCAGTTATCGGCGACAGGCCGGCGGGCACTCCTCGCGTCGGATAAAACCACCACCGCACAACTTACCGTTCACGCGACGCCCACCATAGCGCTCGCGGCGACGGATTGCCGCGCGGCCGAGCACCGAATCCGTTCACAACACACGAAAGACACAAACACAGGCTGACACGTTTCCTAAGACAGTGCTAAGGGCCACATCCTCGCGTAAAAACGTCGACGGCCACAGAGACTGGGACGTACGATGTATCACCTAACTAGTCACAGATGCTCACACGTCGCTCCGCGCGAAGTTTCGAGATCGCAGCGCGCCGCACGGACGACCGCTGACGGCGAAACGCGGCGCTGAACTGGAGTCTAGAGAGAATCGAGTGTACTGCCGGAACCACTACCGGCTGTTTTGTTTGGCACGGTCCGTTCGCGCCTTCCCTTTCTAGCAGGAAACTCGAAAGGAAGCGGCGCCATCTAGCGTCGAGAGGCGGTATTACCACTGGGCTGCAAGTTACATTTGCCTCGATAACCCGTTTAGCTTCCCGCGTCTTTGTTCTAAGGTTTGATGATAAGAGATGGCGTAGATATTATCACAAATGTAGAGACAGTCGTGTGCTTGAAAAAAACATATTATTTTGAATAATTCCAATAAGCCGTTTATCAATAGCTGATAACAATGTGTACTCTAACAAAATTGAGCTTTTTAAGCAAAATTGAGCAAGAGCTTAGGCCAGCAGTGTCATACATGGTGAATTTCTAATTAAAACTCCGAAGGTGAAGGTAGGTATTATAATAAATTCTCCAATAATTTCAATTTTAGCCTCAAAGCATACTGCACAATTAACCAGAGTTTAATTACTTGTTTTATCTTTATTTTACACAGATTACTAATGGGTGCTTATGCTATCCTTGTATTTTTATTATATAGTAGTAGCAGTAGTCTATTGGTTTTAATAGTTTCTTTAATTAATCTTAAAAACTGTAAAGGATTCCAAACATCGGTCATTCGAAAGCAAATAAATCGTAGCAAATATAAAAATAGAGGACAGTTGATAAACTATTAAGCGATAAGCTTTGGCACTGGGAGTCGTGGGTTCGACGGGAGAAGTATTTGTGTGACCTATAGATATTAGTTCCGGAGGGCATACCTTCCTTGTATTATAATTAGAACATGATTGAGCTTCCTTGAGCTCAGAAATATACCAGGAAACTATGTTTCGTGTAATCTTCACTAAATCTAGTTGGTTCTATAAATATTGTGTAAATAATCTAGAAACTGACACAACTAGTTCAAAATCGTGCTAATAACAAAAAAAACTGATGTAATGAAGACGATATAGCACGAATCATAAATTTCAATTTTGTTGACAGAAAAAGGTTTCGAATTTCAGGGGTCAGTAGGGGCCATAAAAGTTGAACAGCCTATTGGCGGCAAATTTGGCAAATTTGTAAATCCGCCACTGGCCCCAGCTAAATCACTCGCCAGATGAAATGAAGAAGTATAACACTTACAATTCACGCTGGTCTTCTGTGAGGTCGTGGTACTTACAGTGGTTTTATCAAAACTTTAAAATGTTGAACATAATTTTCTACTGAGTTGAACCCCCTGCCCCTTTGCCATATTCTTCCATAACAAGTAGAATGTGAACTAAAAAACCCGACTGCACTGTGTAATTTTTATTTTGATATACCCAGTGTCACTCTACAGCAAATACGAATCTTACGACACCTCTTAAGCTAAAATCCATCAAGCCGTTGAACCTGCAGAGCGTGCCAAACATACACTTATGCATATTCGAGGGTATGTATATCTGCATAATATACAATTATGCATGTATACATACCCTCGAAAAACAGACAAACCCTCCTTCTGGCGCAGACGGGTAAAAAAATCATACATAACTCTCTGCTTACGAAAAGCCGAGCCGTGATAACGCAATGTTAGTGCGCTTGCTTTTAGTTTAATATCCTGGAGCAACCCGACTCAAATCCCGGTGCACCAATGTGAAAAAAAACACCAATGTGAACAAGACGATCCTGTAGTCTGAGCACTACGAATGAAGTGGTGAGTCAGACAAGGGCCCTCCAAAGGTGCACGGTTGGCTCTGGACATAATGGCTTAAACGGAACCGTACTAAATGTTGAACAAATAATTCACATTCACAGGTGCATGTCTACCAATGTAAAAGCTTAAGAAAATAACGCGTAGAATACTGTCTGTAATAAAGCATGTGTATAACAATTTTAACAATACTATACTGATTGTGTGAACTTATTAATGTAATTTTAATTACTTAGCTCTAGAGCACAGGGTGTTATAAGAAGAAAGTAATGCTTATAACGAAAGCTTTAAAATTCTTAAAGTATGGCAAAAACTCTGATATTAAAGTATTACATAATATATCAAAAGGTACTTATTTATATTGTGTGACTGGATAGTTGATATATTCGAAGGAGCTTAATGAATTAGAGATTTTTTATAGCTTTTATGAAAGAGATCGATAGAATTTTTTTTAAATCACCATTTCATAATTAAATTCATATAATTTTTAGTAGCGATGAAGAAACAGGCGAATGAAACTCCGTAGGTATCCTCTTTTATTTTATTTTTTTCTAAAAATATTAACATTACATTCTTGCTTTCTTTTTTTTTTAAAAAAACATTGCACTTCCTGTAGGATCCTCCATTGTAAGGACGTTTTACATAAATAACTTTCACATGGACAAACACCCAGATCCGAAACAATTATTTGTGAGCCACACAAATAGGTACTTGTTGCGGGTGAGAATCGAACCCACGACTCTCGGCGCCGAAGCCAATAATACCACTTGAAAACTTTGCCAGAGTCATCATTTAAACATATTTTTTGCTTTTGTAGAAACAGCTTTAGAGCGATCAACTCATTCCCAGGGGTTATCATTAATTTATGTATTTGTTTATGTTATAATAACCCTTTTTATAAAGTTTTTCTTCAATATTTTTTTAAACCTGTTTATAGGCACGCTTTGAGCATTTACTATGATCTTGTAGAAGGGTGTAGAGCGCCACACGAACGAGTTACTTACTCTAAGTATATAGAGTCTAGTAACTGGCGTTACAAGCTTGTGTTTGGTAAAGCTTTGAAGGTCCCTAAGTGGTATTGCGTCCGGAAATACTGCGGGCGGCAACTGATTACACAACTTGGTTGTGCATGACAGAAAAACACAGTGGTGGTCTGGATCTTGCCTTACAAATTATAGACTTCAGATATTTTATTCCGACAGTCGTCGGTACGATCTTTTTTTTTTTGTGGAAATAGGGGCAAACGAGCAGGAAGCTCACCCGATGGTAAGTGATCACCGCCGCCCATCGACATGACTTTCTTACGAAATATCTGGATAATTTCTCAGGAAGCCCATATGAAGTGATCTTGGAACGAAGTGCTACATCCAAACTAACCGCCAAAGATTCCCCGTAAGTCTCAACTTCCTCCGTCCATGTATAATGATAGTTAGGTAGAAGATCAACAGCTGTAATACGCAAGGCCCGCTACCAACTCCGGTGCCATACTTCTTCCGTACACTTGAGTGGATCCCTCAAGGTCTCCGGCCTACTCAATTTCTGGATGTCAAGGAAGTGTTTTGCGCGCGGAGCACAGAAGTACTTTACACCGATCTAAGATTACTGTTAACTACCCAACACATTTATATAATATAGAGATATGTAATACACTTAAAATTCAGAATTTAAAGTCGGCAAGCAAGCAGGTGGTTAAGTTATAACCACCATTCATGGACATCTGTCGTCTTAAAACAGCTAAAAGAACTCTTTTAATCTGTATTCATGTATTGTCAATGGATGCAGGTGGCTCAGGATCGTGCAGCCTGTGGCCTATGTTCAGCATTGGACTCTAACAGGCTGAAATGATGATGATGCTGATGAAACATTCACACTAGAAACACTCACACATAAATGAGTGAAAAACTACATACATGAGTGACCATATGTATACTGTACAGCATACATATGGAGTGACCATATGTATACTACACAGCATACATATGGAGTGACCATATGTATACTACACAGCATACATATGGAGTGACCATATGTATACTACACAGCATACATATGGAGTGACAATATGTATACTACACAGCATACATGAACACAGAACAGAGTAAAAAAGACATTATCCACATAATTCATCTGGACATTCCTCAGTGTTTACCTTCTTTATTCTTATTCGTATATCCCTCCTACATCGTGCGTCAAACAAGTCGATGAAAGTCGTTCAATATTTATTTCATTAGTGTACACTTCAACCAATATAGTTTAGTTTTATGTCCAAAGCAAATGTTGACCTCGCAACTCAGTTAACAACACGAATGCAAGATTGCACCAATTCGCCCAAGCCAGTCAATTTCATAGTGATGTTCAATGAAATCAAATCAAATTTAATGCAGCTGAAATTAAGTTTTAATAAATATTCTTTGTACCAGGCATGAAAATTTTATTAATACACTTAAAATAAAGGTATTCAGCAACAAAGATCATCGCATACATGCCTGTAAAATAATTCGAAAAGTAATTATTTGCCTGTATCCAACCCTCACTTGAGGCGACGAAAGACGCATAAAAATAGAATTAATTAGAGGTTTCACTGCTTGAAATCTTTTATATGAACGTAAAACACCATCTCCCTGTCCGCTTGTATGTTAGCAAGCACATAAGTGAAGAACCAATGGCCTTAGATGAAATTATTTCAGTGTAATATATAACATAACTACATACTACTAGCGATAGTAGCTGCATATATGTCATATGTCTGTGCAAAGTATAATGAAATATATAAAACTTACGAGGACTGAAGGGGGTTGCCCTTTGCATGAAAGATACCGAGATCACAATGATTTGCAATGAATAACAAAGTAAGAAAATATTTGGAATTTTTATTATTCACATGAAAAACCTATGCTTAAGCCGGTGCTAACGTAATGTCACTCTGCATAGTAACTCAGAATCTGTCTGTTCGGAAACAACTTTCAATATGTTGCTATTGGAAATAATGTTTTTCGGTTCATAGCCCGAATTCAGCCATGACTCCAATACGTCCGTACTGGGCAGCATTGTCCTTAATGTATTCCTAACATATATATATGCTTGAGGGGAGTACTTATATATACTAAGTGCAAAATTTTTCAAGTCTTCTGTATGTCTTGTTGGCATTGCTAATACCAGTCCATTAGTATCTTCTTTTATTTTATCTTGCAGTGAGAGTAGGATTTTCGATTTCTTCTTCCTCTTCTGGTTCAAAATGTTTTTCTTCATTTCAATAACCCTCTTGAGCCTCGCCAGAAACCTATTCTGTCTGTTGTAAACCCTCATGTTGCACTTAAGTTTGTCGCGTAAGCCAATTGCTTGCCTCTGCATCCTTTGTACCTCTGTGAATAGCTTCAATAACTCTACATTATCATGTTCAGTGGTAGCATTTGATATGTGCTTGTCTCTTATTTGTTTATTAGGTTTACTGCTATGCTCCTCCTCTGATTCCATTTCATATTCCTCATCTTCCTCATCATCTTCATGATCTAACGTCTCTTCATCAATGTACTCTACCTAAAAACAAAAATAAATTATATCACCAACATATTTGATGCAGCTAATCTGCATTTGAATCAAAAAAAATATTAAAAAATAATTTACTTATAAAACTAATGAAGTTAGAATTTCATATAAAATGATTATGCCTACCTCTAAAACATGATTTGGCAACTTTAAAGATGGTACGGCTTTACTTGTCAAGATAACTCTATTTTCAGAGTCACATTCAAAACAATCTACAGAGAAGTGCTGCACACAAATATATGAGAAGTCAGTTGGTGTCCAATTATTTCTGCCTGTCAGGTCTGTCCATATTTGCCTCAGGTTTGCATCTTCTGGAAATCTGAGGTGTTACCTTTTAGTTGTATAACATGATAACTAAGCAATTAAGGATGTATACTTTTTGGATATGTAAAAATATCTCTACAATAGTAGGGAGTATATTTCTTATAATAACAGTATCATTAACAGGTTTATTTAATATTATTGAACATAATGCAAAAGTGTTAAAGAGTTATACAACATAAATATCAAATAAAGCACTTGAGAATTGTAAGCAAAATTAAATACCTGAAAAATGAGTCCGAGTTAAAGTTTTTTGATTCTTCACAACCTAAAACTGCACAGGTTTTGGTAATTTCCGTGTCTGCTTCAGCATTTTGCTTTAATTCTGGTGCTACCATTGCTGCAATCAATGAATATATGCAAAATAAAACAGAAAAATAGTATAAAAGATACATAATTCTTATTAAGAATACATACCGACTGGAGTTGCTTTACATTTATTATCTTCCACTTCTTTCATTTTAATGAGTCCTTGATTGAAATTCATTATTGACAACTCTGAGCAAACATAAATTGGCGGGATTTCTAACAAAAATAAAAATGATGTGAATACTTTTTCTAACTAGCATAGTTAAGTATGAATATACGAAACTATAACTCACCTTATATTTACAAATCAAAATTAAAGTTTGAACCTTGACTGGCCGGGCCGCCCACAACAGCCCCAATGAAAACAGGTTAGAGCTGAAAACTGATTAGCCATTTATTGTACGTGGAATAGTTTATTCATTATTTTCATGTACTAAATTTAACTGTGATTTTATTTTTATTAATAGTAATATAGAGATAATTTAAAACGTTCTATAGGGATAAGATAATAATTTCAACATTCAATCATCGATGATACATATTTTTTAAAGCTTGACGGCTTGACATTTACATTTAATACTAGGCATGGGCAAAAACAATCGATATTTTTTCCATACAATTAGAATTATTGATATATGATGTCTTATTATGTCTGATTTATCAGTCTTTATTATGGAATTCGTGTTAATTTTGATATATTTTTAACAATCTGGTTTCGTGTTACCAGATACTCCTGATCCTCGCGCATCTTTAACTTTCTTTTGTATTTTCAATTGTTTGAAAATATGTATGCACAGTCATAAGAAAATTGACGATATATCGATATTTTTCGCTCGATAATTATCTATACTTTTTAAAATGTCGATACGATATAAAAGTAAAGTAACAGCCTATAAATGTTCAACTGCTGGGCAAAGGCCTCTCCTCTGTAAAGAGGGTATCAGGGCATAGTCCACCACGTGACCCCACGGATTGGCGAACTTCACATATTTTCGAAATATTTTTTTATTATTATTCCGAAAATATGCAAGTTTCCTCACAATGTTTTCCTTCACCGCCGAGCACGTGATAATTCAGCACTTAAAATTAAATAAAATGACATATTTAAAATAAAATGAAAATAAAATTAACACTTTCATTGGTACTGGCACCGGGGATCGAAATTAGGTTGCTCGAGTAAATGTAATTAAAGGCGAGCGCCCGGACACTGAGATAACACGGCATAATATATATCGATATATTTATTTTACTTTTTTCATTTTATTTTTTTATGTGAAAAGTTGGCAAACGAGCAGATGGTTAACCTGATGTTAAGTGAATACCGCCACCCATGGACATCTGCTACAGCCGAGGGTTTGCAGATGCGTTGACAACCTTTTGAAAATTGGGCTCCCGCCGCCACACTCACCAGAAGAAACGCGAAAGTATTATACCTCCACTTGACGCCGGTCTTCTGTGAGGTCGTGGTACTTACCCGGACGGGCCTGTCCATTCGTGCAACAGCCGAGGCTGCTACGTGGCCCTACCACCGTAAATACCACTTAATACCACTTGCATCTCTATTTAATACGGATTATTAAATACTTCTTTAGCAAAATGGGACAGGGGAAAAAAAGCATCCCAAAGATATTGTTGATGGTAGATGAGCAAAGTATTCACACTTTAGGAATCTATGTTATGATGTAATCAGCTTAATTATCTGTGAGTCTGTTTTCTATTTTCTGTGATGAAATGTCAGGCTGATATCAATTCATTTGTACGCAAGTTTTCTTCGAGATCTTTGTTGTTACCGATTATATGCTTAGAAAATGGTTGACCCAATATTCGATTACCAATTTAGGCTCATCCTAATTGGAGATAGTACGGTGGGAAAAAGCTCGTTACTAAAATATTTTACCGATGGAAAGTTCGCTGAGGTGAGTACTTATACGTGATGTTTTTATCACGATGATTACCTGTTCATGAAATTAGAGAGTAAATTACGCATTAAATTTTAGCTCTCCGACCCTACAGTGGGCGTCGATTTCTTTGCTAGAATAATTGAAGTACAGGATGGCACCAGAATAAAACTTCAGCTTTGGGACACGGCGGGCCAAGAAAGATTTAGATCCATAACGAAGTCTTATTATAGAAATTCTGTGGGTGCTTTGTTGGTTTACGACGTATGTAACAGATCAAGTTTTGAACACATACCCTTATGGATGATGGAAGCGAAAAGACATATTGAGCCACATAGGCCTGTTTTTGCTTTGGTTGGATGCAAAATAGATTTAGTTGGCACAGACAATAAAAGTGGGGCAAGAAGAGAAGTATCATGTGAGGAGGCAAGAATGTTTGCCGAAGAAAATGGTATTATTCATTACATTATTTATTTGAAACTAAATGTAATCTATAGCTTTCCCCACAAGGATTCTAAGTTTTCAGTTGTGAATATGATGGTAAAATTTGTGAATATAATTTATCGACTTGTTTAGTTAGATTTTAAATATTGTATACATGCCAGTACTGCATAAACATGGATAGTATACACTTATCATACCATATTAATATCCAAATATGTCTAGTGAACCAAGGTCAACCTAATTTGCATAAATTTATAGTCTTTACATTTTAAGGCAAAGTCATTCCTTCTTGTTGTTAACCTTTTTCTTAAGGCTGAATGACTCTAATCCATATTATCCTTAACTGTCATTCCTTGACTTTGTTATTAAAATTATCCTTGTGCTTAATAGGGTCATTTCATATGAAACTAAAATTTCATTTATGTTATTAACTTAGAATTTTGGGTTCAGTACCATTGAGGGCTGAATATTCGACTCATATTCGGCACACATATACTAATAAAAATTTAATTTCCACAAAAATTATATCAAAATAAATATATATTTATAAGATAATTTTTTTCAGGCCTGCACCATGTAGAAACATCGGCCAAAACTGGATTAAACGTAGAGGAGGCTTTTGTCCTTGTAGCTCAAGAAGTGTATAACCGTATTCAAACTGGGGAATACAAGGTAGAGGATGGCTGGGATGGAATAAAAACTGGATTTAACAGACCAAATGGCATGGATTTTAATCTTCTCGAAGCTGAAACCGTTCAATCAACCTGCTGTTAGGAGAATATATTATTATTTGTAAATATTGACTCATATAATTAGTATAGTGTTATGGTGTAATATTACATAAGTATAACTTTACAACATAGATAAGTTATGGCACATTACAGTTTGCTAATGCAGTTTGCATTATAATATATGAATATATTTATTCACTAATTTGTTGAAAGTAGAGTACAGGGGTTATTCAAATTGCAATCTTATTTTTCAGTTTAGTTAACCAAACCTATATTCATTTGTTCGAGTTTCCATCATTTTCTTTTGTCTTTGTACTTTAATTACAAAATAATTCAACATAACTATGCATCAAGAAAATTCATTACTCACATCACATTACCTTATTAAATAACTAGTCTCATTTCTTTTTTAGGTTTTGTTTTGGATTATTTTGCAAACAAAACCATAATAGAAATATTTCCAACTTGTGTAGCATGATGAAAAATTTTAAATTATTCCTGATATTCCTTGCACACCTTGTCACGCTTTTAATTGTTAAACTCCTTAACCAATAACAAAATATTATGTTTACATATCCATATACAAAAGAATAGCACAAGTTTTTGTTAAAAAAATGTCGACTACTACTATCTTTTTCTACCTTTTATCTGAAATCGCAACCAAAGAATGATTGTTAATTGCTTTTACATTTTGCTCTAAACTTAATTTGTATTTTTTCATGATAAGAATCAAAATTTTAAGTACCTGGTAATGGCTAATCATAATTAATACATAGAATACACATTTAGAATGTTTCCCATCGAAGATAATCCATTTTAAAATAATGTTTAATGCAAGTGTAAGTTTTTTTAACATTTGATATATTAAATTGATTATAAAAGGCGCCGAAGTGCAATATTCCATTAATAAATATGAATCCTTGTGAGTAAATAATAAAAACAAAGTTAAAAATGTCCGTCCAATGATACCATGCGGGCGTATGACTCATGCGAGACTGAGACAATATAATGAAGGTTTATCATTTAATACAATAATTATCAAATGTCATTGATCAGAATTAACTCGCTGTAATTAGCACAATTGATATACAATAGACATAACTATAAATTACGCATCTTATAAGTCATTACTTACTTGTTACATTACATGGAATAAAATTTGATTCAATAGAGGGATGGATTCATGCTCAAAATTGAGGAACATTGTATATTGATAATATAATTTATGTCGTCATCTTATTTATAATTTTAATTGATCAATACTACGCTGTTATTACAATGCTTTTACGCAGTAAAGTTTTTGTTAATCATATCTTGTTTCAATTGTATCCTGTTTAATTATGTTTGACCCGAAGAAGTCAAGCCGATGACCCAATTTCTACGTATTGCGTCGGATCTATTTACAAATTCTCAAGACAAAGATGTGCTTTAACGTTTGCGTAACATTTGTGAAAATTATTCGCATAATAGAATTATTTTTTAAAATAAGAATTTTCTCCATTTTGGTAAAAAAAACTACTGGCACTTCTCTGGCGGATAATAGGATTTCAATTTAATCGAAAACGCTGTTCAAAAATGCACAAGCTATCTTATAATTTTTTTAAATACAATATACTCAAATTACTATAACAACTATAATATTTATTTATGAAAAGCCATGCATATATGGTCTTTCATCCTATCAACCTTCTATCAATAATTTATAACATGCAAAGAATTTTTAGGTACAAATCGTTTCTAAAAATCGACCAGAGTCCTTCTTTAGTACTGCTTTCGTCTTGTATCGAAAGGAAGAATGCTCTGTGGGATTGATTACCTGCCTCGGTGGCTACCTTCAGTGTAGGAGCGTATCTTGGATCTTCCATCGGTAATCTTCCGGACTGCTCATAAGCATATCCTTCGCTAGTTTGTGGCACAACAAGATCAATTCGAACAGTCTTCATTTTAGTAGACGATCAGAAACCCGCACCACAAACGCCTGCGAACTTCTTACTCCATTTCACAAGTATCTTAGTGCTCAGACCTTTTCTATTAACCGGGGCATGTACCCTTGGGAGTTTTTGCGCGTAATTTGTAAAGAAACGTGTCTTTTCAACCGGCTGGAAAGAAGGAGGTTCTCAATTCGACTGAATTTTTTGAAGGCTGGTGCTTCCTACATTAATTTCATTGGTATTGGATCTTGGGCTCCGGAGATACTTAGGGAACTCCTAAAAATCAAGTATAATAAAAAACAAAACCGACTTCAAATATATGGCTCTGTATTCGTTTTATAATTATAATCTCTCTCTGTATTCATATTAATTACAGAAAATAGGGCTTTATTCTTATACAATACCAATAGATCCGTTTTTTGTTTCATCTGTTTTCACTTAGAAATCGAATTATAATGGTAATTACAAAAGCATATATTCTGTTAATGCTTTAATTATCCTAATCACCACACTTAATTAAAACGTTACGTCTAGTGAAATGGTAAGTTGTTCATGATAGTTTTTTTTTTTTAATATAAAAAGTTTAAATTATTCAATATTGTGCGAAATGCACGTTTCAGTGTGCTGGATTGGTAAAGAAACAAGAATGTCGTGAAGACAGAAAGAACACTGTGTATTTTCGGACGTTTGTACAAGTTTTTTCTTATGCAATAAAACGTTCTTCTAATGGCTGCAGGCTCCTCCGCTTCCAGGCTGCAGGGCTTCTTTCTCGCTGACTTCTTCTAGTTGCTTGTTCCACTGGTAGATCTTGATGCTCGTCGACTGCGATGATGCCCCGAAACGCCGCTATATTTATGCGATCCTGTGGGAATTAATTCCTGCTCTCTGATTTGTTGTCGTATTGGTATCCAATCAGAGAGATTACATTTTTTCTTTGGCACCCTCTTGGTGCGTTACCTTAAAGAATCGAGGTCTTATGACTAGATTACAAATAATTAAATTTAATGTTTTATCAATTACGATGACATTATGAAAATACACTTTTTCCCTAATTATTTTATCGCACTAATTTTACAACATATGTGTTAATAGTCATATAAAAACAGTTATACAATTAAAATCTTATAGTATTTCATTATACAGACATTTTTATAGGCAATCTAAAATAAGCAAGTTTTAAGCAAGTTTTAAGCAGAGTTTTAAGCAATTATTTCGACTTACGTTACATGAATTAAATAGTAAATTACTTATAGAAACACTATTAAACTAAGTTATCCCGCACAAATATTTTTCATTGGATTCATAACTATTTTTTTCATTGGAATACAATGCATGACTTTTGATGTAACGCAAAATGATATACTAGGTAATTTTGTATTTTTTTAATCAAAACAGTCAGAATTATGTTAACTCGTATAAAGCAAGAGTTACTTCCTATAGAACCCAATTGATAATACGTTTTTAACTTTGTCTCTTATCAGTTTCCACAACGGACGTTGTTGCTGAGTAATCAAAGAGTGCTCAAAAGTGAAACGAGCATGTATTAAGTGCATCGTCCGAAGGTGGTTTTTAGTTTTTTTTTAATACGTCAGCCGTCCGTCCTGAGTATAGGTAATTCACAGCTATTTCGTTTTCGGGCGAACATAATTGTGTACACTTGTCGGATTTCTCAATATTACTTTTTGCCCGTCATATGTTCGGCGACAGACTTATCACTTGTTAGGCGAAAAACATAAAACATGATCTGCATTACCTGGTTGTATCTACCCCGCTAGGGTTAAAAGGCGTAAGAACTTATCGTTGTTTTATCCTATTACGTACCTATGTATACATATAAAAAATCTATTATAATAGTAAATAATTATTTTATGGTTTAGTATTCTAATATAATTAATATTATAAATTAATGTGACCGATATATCTCAAGGAGCAAATTAACAGCTATAGGGAAGCCATTTATTACAAGTCATGTCATTGGCCTCTTAAAACTAGGAATTTACCTACTTATTTTAATAAAGTTCTTAGCTTAATTCTCACTGATCAGACGAAACACAGAAGTACTTCGACTTCACGGCGATCTTCTGTTAGGTCGTAGTATTTACCCGGATGGATCTGCCCATTCTTGCAAAAGCGAAGACTTTCGTGGCCCTATCATCGTATAATCTAAAGTTTTGCTTTATTAGATGAACACGAGAAAAGAAGAAATTCTTTAATAAATTAAACCTCCAATTACAGTTCATTGGTGTACTAGAGATTGTTTTCAGAGTGGGGCTGGGCCATTACTACAAAAAAATCTAGCACAATGAATCATCGTTGTATGATATTTTTAAGGCTGTAAAGGATGCACTGGATGCGCCAAGCATTGCTAAATATATAATGGAACGAACGTAGATAGATGTCAAGATTTTCGCGCCAAGAGGTAATCGGCCGGTTAACTTAGTTGTTAAAGAGTCTGGGCGCAGAACCAGAACCAGGTTCGAATCCCCCAGCACCGAGTGGTTTTGTTCATTTATTTAGAAAAAATTACAATTTGATACTATGCATCTTATTAAAAAAGCAACGGTCCGTTATCGTTTATCATATTTATTCATTTAAAAGAGTATTGTTAACTAATTAGTCATTAAAATTAGTAGAAAACTTACGAAAGGACTATTATGAACTACTACTAATAATTAACTACTACTATTAATTATTAGTAGTAGTGCTATTTTAAGAGTAGTATTAATGAATTACATAAACTTTAATTTACGTTTGCTCTCAGCAAAAATATTTAAAACTTCTTCCGGCCTAACATACTTATTTTCTATATGAAGAAGAATAGTGCTTGGAGTCTCCCTTAATAGATCTCAGCCACGTCTTAATTCTCCGCATTGCTGAAAAACTCCGCTCGAATACGGCTGAAAAGACTGGGATCACAATTACAGATTGAGTTAATTTAAAAAGATTTGGGGAAAAAAATCTTGTTTATATGCTTGCAGTTGTCATATTTTGTTCTTTTATAACGTTTTTTGTATAATTAAGCATTCTGCTTCTAAGAGGGTCCTATCAATTCGAAGAATTTCTTCATAATTATCGGCAAAAGCCTTTCCATTTTCGAGATCTTTTAAAA